ATGCGATCCACCAGACAGGTCCTCGTCAGATGATGCGACACACTCCACATCCGTTCACTGCCCACCCAACTGACTCGCCCAGCTGGGCTCCCCAGCCCTGTCCTGCAGGCCCACTCTGCCCTGGGCCAGCTGCAGAGGTGGGTGGGGGTCCAGCCCTCAACAGGCATTGGCCCCGACACTGCACTGGGCAGTAGAGGGGCCAGCCCTGTGCACACATTTCCTTTCTGGGAAACCCCCTATATGGGGGCCAGATGTCAGAGGACCTGTCCACCCAGAAAACGCCAAAACCATGGTGTAGTGACTTTACTGCCCTCCAGAGCAGTCACAGCCAGGAGAGGCAGGAGAGGGACCACTGGGTGCGGCCTGTGCTGCCACCAACAAACCCCCACACTCACAACCCCCTCACAAGCAGAGTCTCAGTCACACCCCCCACGTGTGCACCGTCCACACTGCCCGGAGTGTAGACCTGAGCCCGTGGTGGCCCTGTGAGTCCACATCTCAGGCTGTCTGAGGCCGGACTCCATGCCACACCCTCCACACATGGAAATAGAGGCCCAGGGCTGGCTGGGTCCCAGCTCTGCCCCACTAGGGTACCGAGTACAAGAGGAGTATGTCAGTGTGTGGGGGTGTTAGGACAGGAGAACACCAAACATGGGGGGGGCACCAAGTGTGGGTGTGAAGAGGGGGCAATGCCATGTGTGGATGTAGGGGTGCTGAGTGCAGGTGTGGGAGGCATGAAATGTGGGTGGCAGTGGGTGCCAGTGTGGATATGAGGAAGGGAGAATGCTGTGTGTGGATATGGGGGTGCTGAGTACAGGTGTGTTGTTGTTATGTGCCGTTGAGTTGGCCTTGACTCATAGCGACCCCTCCTTGGGTTTCTGAGCCAGTATCACTATGGAAGTAGATTGCCCCATCTTCCTTCTGAGGAGTGGCTGGTGGGTTTGAACCGCCAGCCTTCTGGTTAGCAGTCAAGTGCCTTAGGCACTATGCTACCAGAGCTCCTGAGTACAGGTGTGGGGGGCATCAAATGTAGGTGAGGTTAGGTGCCAGTGTGGGCGTGAGGGGGGATGCTGAGTGTGAGTGTGAGCAGTGTGGGACACCAGGTAGGCGTGCGAGGCAGGGAACACTGAGTGGGTGTGGGGGGCTGTAGATATGGGTGGACACTGAGTGGTGGGGTGCAGAGTGTAGATACGGGGGGACTGAGTGTGGGTGAGAATTAGTGAGAGCAGCTCTGAGCACAGCAGGCCCAGGGGAGCCACACACAGGGCGAGGGTGGCAGTCGGAAGCTCAGGCCATGTCCTTGTGACTGGGGCGAGCCCACTGGGCCTGTGTGGTGAGTGGGCACGTGGCCTCCCCCCAGCTGCCCAGGTCCAAGTGCAGGGCTGGATGCTCAGTGTCAGAGTGGAGCATGGGCCCAGGTCGTCCCTGCACCACCAGGGCCCGCCCCCACGGCCCCTCCAGCACTGACACCCCAGCCCCTGCAGGAGGAACAAGCAGATGCCCTGTGCCTGGAGGAGGCAGGGAAGGAGCAGAGCCTTGAGGGCTTGTCAGGGCCCTTTCTGTTTTACAGGCGGCGACTGAGCCCCAGGGGGTGCCCAGTATGGGCACAAGGGCCTAAGAGCAGAAGGACACTGGCCCTGCCCCGCACTGCAAACAAGAACGGTCCCACAGGGAATATGAGCCAGCCGGACACGGGCCTTCTGCCAGCTCTGCACCCTGCCAGCCCCCTCACCAGGACTTGAGGGGCTTCCCTGCTGCTCCCTGAACCTGTCCACACCTCTGCACGGCATGAGACCAGCCTTCGAGGAGGACAGGGTGTGGACAGTGAGGGTGGAGCACTGTAACGAGAGGTATGTGCCCCATGGCACCGCCTCCCACCTGCTCCAGGCTGGCGGTCCTCACCTCCGTCTGTGCCTTGGGGTCCCCACCTTTGGCTTTCTCCAAGACTTCCTCAAAGGGGAGCACCGTATCCTCCTTTGCCAGCTCTGAAACAGACAGATGGACAAACCTCATGCACACCTTCACCCCACGTGCTGTTGTTATGTGCTGTTGAGTTGGCCCCAACTCAAAGCGACCCCTCCTTGGGTTTCCGAGGCAGTATCATTACAGAAGTAGGATTGCCCAACCTTCCTTCCGAGGAGTGGCCGGTGGGTTTGAACCACCAGCCTTCTGGTTAGCAGTCAAGTGCCTTAGGCACTATGCTACCAGAGCTCCTACACACTCAATCCTGAGCAGGCACCCGGTTTAGAACCTGCAGGTGTCATCAGTGAGTGAGGTGACAGTGGGGCTGGATGGGCCTCAATCCCATGACCGGTGTCCTTGTGAGGCTGGCAGAAGACACACAGACACAGACACAGGCAGAGGGAGGCAGGACCAGTGATGTGGCCGCAGCCCAGGACACCAAGGGCTGTGGTGACATTGGAGGCTGGGTGGTGGTGGTGGGGTGACAGATCCCCATCCAGAGCCTCAGGAGGAGCCAGCTGACACCTCGATCTCAGACTTCTGCCGCCAGACCCATGAGAGGACGAGCTCCTGTCTGCACCCTGCAGACACTGGCTGAGCACCAGGCAGGGACCTGGGGCATCAGGAGCTGGACAGGACAGAGCTGGCCCTCATGGCACACTAAAGGCCAGTCAGGCCCAGGAGACACCTGTCTTGGCTGAGGGGCTTTCTGGAGGGTGACGCCCAATGCTTGAAACACAAGTCTGAGGTCAGAGATGATGATGCACACCAGCTGAGCCTGCGACCACCTGTCCTCACCCACACAGGGCACCTGAGGGCGTGGGGCACAGCTGTGGTCAGCGGCCAGGTCTGAGCCCAGCGGCTCGAAGATAAAGGGCTCCTGGCCATGGGTGACCTTTGGACACTGAGGCCAGGACTTGAGTTGGTTACTGCCTGGCTGGCCTGGGCAGAAGGGCCACAGGATTCACCCATTCCCGTTCCTGGACCTCACCCCCAGCAGGGTCTTCACACCTCTCATACCCACCACCCAGGACCAAGCTCAAAGCAGTGCCATGCTGTCCCACCAGGAACACAGGGCCCTGGGTTGCTTACACTCTGCACCCCCATCTTGATCCCACACCTCTGAACTGGCCCCCTCTCCCTAACCTGCCTCACAAGCCGCTCTCCTCATGTGCCCATCACAACATGTCACACCGTCCTCCATGTCAGGACCCTCACAGGCCCCTTCACTCAACAACACCCACTCTCCTGACCCTGACCCACAAGGCCTGTCCCTCCCCAGGGTGTTTCTGGGGTGACCATCGAGCACCCCACCCTGCCTGGCTGTGACAGTCAGGGAGCACCGGACCGGCACCTCACGTCTCCCCACCTGCAGGGAGGGGCCGTGGCCTCACCACTTCCCCTCAGCATCTCCCTTCCTGTGGAAAGGGGTTCTACTTCTGTACCCACTGCACCCAGCTGTGCCCTGGAGGGACGGCTGCCCCGTGGCTGGTTCCTGAAGCAGTGAACACATCCACTCAGCAGTGACGCGGGAAGGCCACAGACACTGGTCCTGCTGGCTGGTGGCCGCAATACCTCTGAGGTCAGTGCAACGGGCAGCTCCACCCACCTGCACTCAGCCCCCTGGCACCCCCCAGCAGCGTTAGCACCTTGGGGTGGGCGGTGAGCCCATGCTGGATCTCGGCCCACGCTGGGCTTGCTGGGTGCACCGGCGTACATGCAGGGGCGGGTGGGGGCTGCCGGGCCACCTGCCCTCCACTCCAGAGAAGAAACCACCCTGCCCTGGCCTCTCACCTAAGCTCTCACAGCGCCACTCCTTCCCCACGGCTGTGTCACTCCCCAGATTTCACCCCGTGAGTTCCCTTCCTGCCAGCTCTGCCGTGGGGGCCACAGGGCAGTGGGATTCTGGGTCGGCTGCCAGCCTGGGCTGAGGGACAAAGGGAGGCACAGTGAAGTTCTCTCAAGAGACACAAACAAGGAAGAGCCTGTAACAGGGAGAGTGGCATGGGTGGGGGGCAGGTGCTGTCCAATGGAGCTGCAGGAAGGAGCCAGACACGTCCAAGCTGGGCTCTGTGTGGGACAGGCTGGGGTCCCATGACCCCTCATTTTAGATATAAACCCCCTAGAGCCCCAGAGTTCAGTGACGAGAGACAAGGACCTCTCAGACCTGGCCCAGCAGAGAACAGGAAACAAAACATGATTAAAAATCAGTGAAACTCAGATCAAAAGGCTGGGTGGTGTGGACCTACTGCCAGGCTTCAGGGGCAGCAGGACGGCCCTTGTTTTGTCCCTTCAGTGACCCCGTGGGCAGCAGCTGCCAGAGGGGCGGACACCATGCCTGGCTGCCTGTGCCCCCACGTCTCAACATGAAGGTTCTATGAGCACGTCACACAGCACAGGCCGGGGTCTGACACAGCCCAGGTCCTGAAACCCAGCCTAGAGCAAGCAGGAAGCTTCAATGGTGATGCAGAGAAGAGGCTAGAAGCAGACTCAGTGAGGGCACATAGGGGGATGTGCTGCGGGGTCACAGCACACCCAGTACCTGCAGCTCTGGGCTACAGGTCCACCTACACTTGGGGGGTCAGACCGCATAGTCGGGCGTGGGGCCCTGACTCAACATGCACCTGGCCTGCACACAGCTTGCGCACATGGGGGGGGGGTCACACTGCGTAGTTGGGCACAGGGCCCCGACTCAGCATGCCCCTGGCCAGGCACACACCTGGCACACCTGAGGATGAAAGAGGGTTTGCTCCATGCACAGGGTCCTAGGTAGGGGTGGGGTCCACACACGTGTGCTTGGGGTGACCGTGCCCATTTCACAGATGGAGAACAGGATGAGCGAGGTCTCTGGCTCCCACAGGGTCACCTCTAAGTCAGGAACCAGACCTCAGCAGATCTCAAAGTCTCTGTGCACAAATACAGCTGCTCTGGAGATGGGGGCGGTGGGGCCCGGCTAGCTGAACAGGGACCATGGTGCCAACCCCGAGCATATCCACCCCCTGGTGCTGACCCACTAGAGGGTCAGACCCGTCAAATGTCTCAGCAGCTCCTGCTTGTAAATAAAAGGGAGAGACAGGTGCACTAGCCTGCACCACAGAGTAAGGGCAGAACTGATCCAGAAGGTCCTGTTCACACTGGTATGCACACACCTCTGAGTGTGTGCACGCATGGGGTGTCGGCTGTGTGCATGTGTGGCATGCGATGCCCTCTTCCATGGTGCATGTGATGCGCACGTGTGTATGATGCACCTGTGTATCTGATAGGCTGTGTGCATGCATGTGTGATGCATGTGTGTATCTGATGTGCCACGTACACATGGGTATGTGTGAGTGTGCATGCATGGTAGGTGATGCCCTTTCAAGTGGTGTGATGTGTGCATATGAGTACCTGAAGTGCAGTGTACATGTGGGGATGTGTGAATGCACACGTGGTACATGTAGACGTCAATGTCAGTGATGCTCTTGTATGTGTGTGTGGTGTACGTTTGGTGCACTGTGTATTTAGTGAGGTATATGCTGGTGTGGTTATGTATGTGTGCATGGTATATTTGTGTTTATTTGGTGTGTGTGTATATTTGGTGAGGTGTGTGGTGTGGTTGTGTGATAGGTGGTGTGGTGTGTAACTGCTGCAGTCTGTATTTAGTGAGCTGTACTGAGCTCTGGTGGCATAGCGCCTAAGGCATTGACTGCTAACCAGAAGGCTGGTGGTTCAAACCCACCAGCCACTCCTCAGAAGGAAGATGGGAAAATCTACTTCTGTAGTGATACTGCCTCGGAAACCCAAGGAGGGGTCGCTATGAGTTGGGTCCGATTCAATGACACATAACAACAACAACAACTGTGTGGCAGCCAGCTGCAGGGATCCAGGTGAGGAGAAGGAACCCAGGCATGCCCAAAGCAGTAGGGCAGGAGAACGAGAGAAAGGGGATTGAAAGGCCCAGGAACTGTGACAGAGGAACAGTCAGCCACAGGGATCCAGGTGAGGAGAGGGAACCCAGGCACACCCAAAGCAGCAGGGCGGGGGAGCGGGAGAAAGGGGATTAAAAAGGCCCAGGAACCGGGACAGAGGAGAGTCAGCCGCAGGGATCCAGGTGAGGAGAGGGAACCCAGGCACACCCAAAGCAGCAGGACGGGAGAGTGGGAGAAAGGGCATTAAAAGGCCCAGGAACCGGAACAGAGGAGGAGTCAGCCGCAGGGACCCAGGTAAGGGTGGTAGGAGAGGTTTCCAACAGGGAGACAAACTTGTCTGTCAGTTTGTCCTACCGTGG